TTGAAGTCCCATAGATATGTTTCTCCAGGTATGCATATGCTTAACTAGAGATGCGGAGGACCAGATATCTATTAAAAAACTACAGCAGCAAAACAAATCAAAACAACAACAGGGTATGTATTTGGCTATTTTTGTTTTTCTGTGGCTAATAGTGCAATTCTGTTGTCAGCTATGGGGAAAGTCTTTTAGAGCAGGATCTAAATTCCAGTTAGAAAAGTGTACAGTATTGGGATCTGCATTCTAGCATCTAGCAGGACTAAGGGCATAACAAAGTGGGTGGAGGTGAGTGTAATCCATACGAACTGAAATATTTTTCCATCATGCAAGTTCAGCTCAGTCTCAGCATATCTGCTCTAGGGTAAGTCGAACTGTAACATTTTGCTGGGCTGAAAACTAGGGCCCAGTCCCATGCAATATCTTGATTTGAAACCAGAGCTCAGCTCCTGGAGTTCAAATATCTTCTTGTCACTGATCAGTGACTGGCGATAACAATAAAAGATGTTACAGGTTTATCATTCCTATTATGCTTACCCACACAAGCAGAAGTTCTACAGAATTCAATTCCAGTTATGTTTGGAGGTTTCCTTTTTCTCTGAAATCAATGAACCTTAAAATTGATTAACATTATCAATGGCATGAAATAAGTAGAACTAATAAATGAACATGCAAAAAATGGAAAAGAGCACTAAAATAACATAAAAAAAGAAAAAAATGTACTATTCTAGATTTTATACTGAGTGCTAATTTTACCAGCAGATGGCATATCATCTTACTGTATCACATGAGATCTTTTTGAGTGTTCCTCTTCAAAACAAAATATCCTTAATTTTATTTTTTAAATTCAAATTACACCACGGTTAAGTTTTAATTTTAAAAATGTATCTTACACATGTGTGTAGTAATTTTAAAATGCTTGATTAATTAAATTAATAAAGCAACATGCCGCAAATGGGCAACAAGAGAGAACAAGCACTCCGACCACTTGTAATAAATAAAAGGTAACATTTGTATTTTGAGATCAGAGTTCTTTGTATTTGTGCAAGTATTTCCCATAAGGAAAGCTCTTTATGTTTTAGGGATTCATTATCATGCTCTCAGCTCAGGACATCTAACATGTTGAGTACTGATTATGGGCTATTACGGCTCTTTGAAATTTTATTAAAATAATAAGCTCATTGCTCGCTAAAGGTATGTAATTATGTACTTGAAAATAACTATCATTTTGATTCTACAGCAAAACTACTATGTAGCCTCTACCCTATAAATTCTCATACGTACTGATCAGAAACTACCTGTTCCCTCCTTTTCAATTATTTTGAAAAGCTCCTGAAGATGAGGAATTAACCATGACAGCTTTTATGAATATGTTCAATATGGAAGCTGCTGCTTAAATGAAGACACTATCACCAGTACTGATTTTTGCTGAATAATATAGACATTTGACCCTTTGAACTATTAAGTTGTGTGTTTTTTTAAGAGTAAGATTGATTTCTGCAGTTTGCAACTAGTTAGTGGGAATTGGACTTTTGTGTTTTAATGAAAGGGGGAAAAACAGAAAAGAGGCATTTTTGTTTTCTTAATTATTTCATTGTTTCTTGAATTGGAAACTCTACAATACAAATCATTTGTATCAATGAAAGAGAGATGCACAAAAGCTTCATGATCTCTTGTTTCTCTTGTCCCATTTCATCTTTGTTTCAGCCTTCATCCAGCAAATCACTGAGGAAATTTTTCATTCATGAGCATTGCAAGGACTGCTGTAAACAGTCAATCAGAATGTCAGGAGAGAGCGGGAATTTTGAATCTGTGAAAGGGGACTGGACAGATTTGGAACTGGTGAGCAAAGGTGCTATTTTTTTTTTCTGTCGTGCTTCCAGGACCACAGGGCCTCTTGTAATGCTGGATAGGGGCCAGTGAACTCATGTTTCTGTTAATTCTTTTCTAATTCTGGGGTGCTTTTTTGCTTTTTGAACTGGTCATTTTGTGAGATAAACATTTTTTGCATAGACTGACAATGATTACTCCCCCACCCCTCCACATACACTATTGCCTGCTTTTGGAGCAGATTGATTCTCTATTGCCTTGCCGCTCTGCTTTTTTAGAGTAGTTTTTAACAGTTTTGTGGGGGTTTTGGAATGCCAGAAGCACAAATGGGAAACCGTAAATGGAATATTCTGATAGAGGCTTTCCCTTTCATGCTAAAGAAAAGGACTGCACATAAAAATACCACAGAGAAACAAGAGGCTCTCATAAAAGAACCTGAAATGAAAGAAAATAAAGTAGCCCATCCCTGCAATGTTTTAGGGCACTTAGAAAATAGGCATGAGTTTTGCTAGTTAGTTCAAATGGAGGAAGCTCCTCTCCATGCTAATGTGGGCTTTCTGGTTCCACAGCCCCTTAAATATTTTCCCCCAAAACTGAAGGGCATGCATTCCTCTTGTCCCTGGCTCTTGCACTGTTTTTAATCTCTTTCGCCAAACACATTTTCTATCTGGCCCATCCTTTCATCTTTGTGCCTTTGTCACTTAGTTTCCATGAAGCTCGGTTGCTGATGTTGCTGTATACGCCATCCCATTTTCTTCATCACCCTGATTCTAGCCTGAGATGATGCAGGTGGGAATACTGAGAGGGTGATGCCTGGAAATCAGAAAAGGAGAAAGACCTAGAAGAGAGGTAGAGAATCTTTGGCCATCCAAATGTTACACACAGAGCTCCAAAACATTGATGGGAGAGCTGGCACATTGTTTGGTAAGGCAACTCTAATCCATTTATCTGAAAATGCCAGGTTTAATTTATTTCCTTCTTTAATTCTTAGACTTCAAAACATCACTTGGAATTTCTGAAGATGGCAATAACATAATGAAAAATGTGAAAACATAATTTTGCAATAAAAATAACAAAGTTTAAATCTGTTCTTTAAAAATGTAATAAATAAGGGCAATGAAATGATTTTTAACAAGTGAGGCAGAATCCATCTCAGTTGTGCTTCAAAGCATTCTGTTGTTTTAAATTTGCCCTCTCTGATCCAGCCTTTTGAAAGAAAGAAAGAAGCAAACAAAGAAACAAAGAAGTTTAACAATTTAAGAATTAAGGTGGGGGTGACAGCTAAAAGAATATAACATGTGAAAACTGTGATAATTATTCAAGCTTACTGGCCACTATTCATTCCTTCTGATACATGTGGGAAAAGGTAATGCCAGCAGACTCAACCTCCAATGTATAGCAGGTTCTGCGCAAGAAATTGAAGAACCTTAGACCAGGGGTCTCCAAACTACAGCCCGCAGGCCACATCTGGCCCACCTTGCCTTTTTTATCTGGGCCGGTCCGGTATGCTGGGGGTCAGAAGGAAATCTGATCCAGTTTTATTAATCTTTGCAGCCTAAGCAGTTTCCAAATTTGAAGTGATTTGCTTGAGGATTTGTGTCAGTTTTTACTACCACATATCTGTGTGAACAAACCTTTCCAAGAATGAAGTATGTCAGGTCCAACTATTGAGCAAATTTATCTGATGAGCATTTTCAGTCCATTCTAATAATTGGCTCCTCAAGCTTGAAACCTCAGTTTGGCAGTATTTTGAAATTAAACAAGCAGTTCCATCATTCCCATTAATACTGTATTATACAAGTCTGTTGAGCCAAATAAAACTTATTCATTCATTATAAAACTGCCCCACCCCCTTCAATCCTCAAAAATGTGTAAAATATATGTGGTCCTCATACTGAAAAGTTTGGAAACCCCTGCCTTAGACTACAGGCACTTTCTCATCCCTCCTTTCCTGTGAAAGGTTTTAGCCCAGAAAGAGAGCGAGAATACTGGAAGTGAACAACAGCTTCATTGGGAAAGATTTGGCTTCTTGGACCATGGATTTTTCTAAGGATGGATTCTTGGTGAATGACAGATTGAGCCTTATGTGGGGAGAATATTCTTTAGGAACTTTGCACACCCGGTAGAACTTAATCTAACTCCTGTGGAGGAAGCAGATTGCATTCCAAGTACTGAGAATAAGAATACTGGTGATGCACCTGAAACTAGGATAATAAAGCAAGAAACAATCAATAGATGGGAATGGACAATAAGAGATGTGTGAGCAGGACCAGGGAAAGTTGGTGAACATCTGGGTGAAAAAATCAGAGGAAAGACAAACCACGGATATTATTGTGAAGATTTGCTACTTCCAAAAGATTTAGTTGATGCCTTCCACATGGCAGATTATGACAGTACATATTCAGTGACAAGAGATGTACTGTAGGAAAGACTTCAGTTTATTCCACTGAGGGTTATTCCCACATTCTTCTCCCTCTTTAACATCCATAAAGTATCCTGGCAGATATGAAGAACACATTGCTTGGAAAAAGTGGGGCAAGTTACCACAGACTGTTTTACAAGGTTTCATTATTATTTTTTCACCAATCGAGTCTTGGTGTGCTGCGTTTTTAAAACAGAAGTGTAAAGACTTATATTCTTTTATTCTAATTAGGCAAATAAACCAGTCTTTTATTCTTCAGTACCGACTACCTAAACAAAAACCCTCCACAGGATTTAAGGTGGGGTGTTTTGTGTGCGTTTGTGTGTTTTAAAGCAGGGTTTATGGAGCTCCCAACCGAATCTCGCCTGACCCCCGAAAGAGGAAGCAAAGTGGTCAGACTTGGGACCGGTTTTGTTCCCTCAGGGAGAAAGGGGTGTGTGTGTGGAGGGAAGTGTCGTGTGTACACGCCTAACACGCGCACAGCCCCTTGCTCGGCTCCCTCAGCGGCCTCTCAGCCCCCGCCCCTCCCTCCCTCCGTCCCTCCCTCAACGGCTCGCGTTCCCTCAGAATCCCGGCACTGTCCAGCCCCAAACGCTGCCGTTCCCTGAACCCTGCCACTCCTCCCTCCGTGCCTCTCCCTAGGGCTGATTTCATCGGGAGAATCGCCACGACGCCCCTCCCCTTTTTCACCCCTCCCCTCCCCTCTCGTCCGCGCGCCCTCCCTCCCTTCCAAGCGGGCACTGCTGTTCCTTCCACCGGCCTCTTCCCCCCCCGAAGGGGTTGAGAGGCGGGGGCAAAGAGAGAGAGAGCGAGAGGGAGAGCGAGAGTGACTGTCCCGGCCGGCGCTGATCTCAGGCGCCGATTGGCTGCTGTCTACGCTGACGTCACGATCATGATGAGAATTAATGATCGGAGGCGCTGATTTCATTGTGTGACGCCGGGACCGACCCAGCCGAAACCGGCTGAATTCGGCGCCCTGGGGCCCCCCGGACCAGCCCCGCCTGCCCCACAGAGCACGGTGGGTTGGCGCAGGAGACGGAG